TTCATCGTTACTAGGCAAATTCAGAGGTTGTAGATCGCATCCACTGGAATACTCTCGCTTTGATGTATACTTTATACAGTCAATAAAGTGCACCTTCTCTAGTGAGATTAGTTGTTGTAATTCGCATCTCGCACAATGCGTTCGTTCGGTTAGGTTGAGATATGTTTGTTTAAGTGTCAAAATCTCAGTCAGAATCAGTTTTTTAACAAATTTGAAATAATTCCTATGAAATATTATATTACACAAGTGTCATTACTAGCAACGGAAAATATCATGTCGGCCGTTTTTAAGTGTGATAACAGAACCTAAATCGAGGTAAGGCTAGCCCTAGCCTAGCAGCGTTGGATAGGCTAATGTTTTCGGCGCCTACGATATTTCTTCTCACGACCTGTCGCAAAATCAAACATGAAAATTCATCCGCATTTATTTTTTGTGTGGAACACAAAAAATCAAATTTCAGTCTTATTTTACATTTTTTTCATTCTTAGGAATGTCTAAATTCAGTTAAACTAGCAATTCCGTATTATATTTATAAATCTTTATAACATTATACAAAAATTAGATTTTTTTTTTTTAATTGAAATTTTGCCGGGAATGGGGCTTTAAGGGCAACACAACAAGTCTTTGACATAGTCGAGAGTACAATTCCGAGTGCACAATTTGTATAACAATGTCATTTGTGGGCTTCTTCAGATATTGTTTGTATAGTATGCTGAATTTATTAGCTATAAGTCCACTTATATAGGCCTAAGTGATATTCTGCGTAAAGTGTCTAATAAAACCACAATTTAGAAACTCGGCGACACATTTCTTGATGTGTGTTCCGAGTTCATTCTCTCTTGCCTGTCCGAAAAGTCAAAATGTAATGATTTGGAATATGTTTGCTTTGAGTAAACCATACGCGAATGTTGTGTATGTTTAGGAACTCGGTAATTTAATTTGTGACTTCATATAAAGCGCTATATAAATCCAACTACATTACAACGTTCGAGCATTCCCAGCGAAACCACAGTTACTCAGTCTGCCTGTTAAGTCGTCTGCAGCGTGCAGAAGTCCTATGTTATACTAATATACCCTATCTACAGTCTTCTCAATTTTAACAATCATATACTGTAATTCATCTCTATCCCGAAATCAGTGAACAGTTAGTTTGCAAGTTTGCTTACTTAAATCGCCGTACGAAAGATGGATTACTAAACTACAATGCAGAGTTCGTTTTAAGGCAACTCCCCGGAACAGAAGATCAATGATCAAAATTAATCTTTGCAGACCATACTGTAGGTCGACATGCCTTGTTACATGGAATTTATAAATTTGAAATGTCTTATAACTTGATACCAGATGTCAACATCCAGAAAATAGCGGATGGGAATGTTAGAACCACGTAGGCCTAATCTAGTGCAAGAGTCAACCCGGATCTGTAGATTAATTGGCTTCCTATCCATAATCCATAGAGTTATAAAACAACACCCTATTTTGGTAGTGTTGTAAGGTATTAAATATTCAAGGTCCTTTTGAAATTTCACCTTTTTTGAAATGGTGGCAGATGGCAGACATCTTGAATTTCAAAATGGCTATCTATTAAACCATAAAGGTGTCATAGATTACTACAATGTTACGTCATACTACTCCGTTGCTATCGGCGACACAAAATGAGTTCAACCGGACGCAATTTCCCCACTGACAAACCATTGATCCCAATTTCTAACGTAATTATTAAGATGTTTTATCTTAGTTTTTCTTTGTAAATTTTAATTGATGAATAAATGTGTGTTCGATAACTAATATAATGCGAACTTTTGTGTTTTTAGTACATTTCGTTAGGTTTTAAAATGCCTATTCCAGAAAGCCTATTCTACCATTAAGATTATGAAGTCAGTCAGGCGTAGAACGGTAACCAACGTCTGGTTGACAACAAAGGGCACCACCTGATGTTGTGACGACACGACTATTGTACTCAATTTTAATGGTAGTGGATGGCAAGATATAGACCCATATGATTAATACTCGCTCTAATGAAACATTAATTCTTCATAAATGACCGAAAATTCCATTTCTGACATTTAACCTCAGATACTTACATCATTCATATCTCCATAACTATTGATCATACCAGGGAACAGTGAAAATACACTGTTCCCTGGCTATACGGACTTGGTTTTTGTTTAAAACTGTTCATAGCATTCTATTCACTCCAATAAAAAAATTTTCACTTAAAATTACTGGCTAGTTTATTTCTGAACTTTGACCTCAGATATACATCGTTATCTTTATTCAAAAAAGTTCATTCATAATAAAATGTATTTGCAGCAAAATGCTGAATTTTAGTATTTTCCCTATAAAAGGTGAAAAAAGAACTAGATAAAATCCAAAATGAATCAAATGGAAAGCTTTGGAAAAAAGGTTGCAATATTGATTCTTTCTTACAATTTGATATTAAAAAGATATACACATCATCTATCAGGCAGTGAGTCGTGAACATTCCTTTTTGATTTCTATATTTATTTTGACCAATAAAAGGGTTAATTGTATAAATCACAAACTCTGACATTCTTTTCTCAGCAATTTTAGCTAAGGTAGAGATCTGGAAGATTGGTCTTTAATTTGTTAATATTATCTGTTGATCATGCTTTCTTGATTTTGGTTTTTCAGAACATAGGTATTTCTACTTGCTTAAATAAAACATTTTGTCCAAAAATAAGAGGAAATACTATTTCTGACCGTTGACCTTAGTTACTTATTATATCCATAGGTTAAGCCTACTGTTTGATAAAATATATTTGGTGTGATTCAGCGATGACGCCAGGATCTGCCCGACAGCTGTCTCTTATACACATCTAGATGTGTATAAGAGACAGGAGTCAACCC